GAGGGAGAGAGAATGAGAGAGAGGGAGAGAGAAGGAGAGAGAGGGAGAGAGAAGGAGAGAGAGGGAGAGAGAAGGAGAGAGAATGAGAGAGAGGGAGAGAGAATGAGAGAGAGGGAGAGAGAATGAGAGATAGATAAATAGATAGATAGATAGAGAGAGATATGCTAAATAACCACACCATTAACAGAACCTTTTTTTCACGGGTGTGCAGGTTTGATGTTGAGTGGGGAGAGGTATGTATACCTGGGGGGCGACGAAGGTACCTTGCGGGGAAAGAAGGGCAAAAAGTTTGTGCACATGACCAAGACCAACACTGCCCTCATCATCGGCATTAGCGAGGAACCTGGACAGCCTGGCCCCTGTGCGTGCACCGTTGAGGCCTTGGGCGACTACCTAAAAGGCCTAAACTACTAGTTTTCCTGCCTCAACCTCCTCCTGCTCCTTCTGACTCTACTTTACATCTTCTGTCTATTATTTCTCCCTTCATCATCTTCTGTGTCATGGGTCGTCATCAGGATTAAACCCAATGCAATTATTCTTCATTTCTATTTTTCAAATAATTTTGTGTGTAACTGATCATTTGTGGCACTTTTCTGAAGATTAAATTAACACAGGATTAAAATTCCAGCTTGAATTTCCTTTTGATTACAGTAAAATGAGCAAACTGCACTGGCAAAAGGATGTAATGATCTTTTACTGCCATGCAATATGAACGAATTACAAAGCTTGTGATATCAATATCCTACTATTTACATCCAATAAATATGAATTTCCTTAGGTGATGATCTTTAATTATCCTTTTCTTCTCTTCAATTTGTTTGAATGTATTCTGATTATTAATATACTTTTAATATGTTTCACGGCTACAATAGGGTATAGAAACTCAACAAAACACAAAAATAAATGGATATGCAAGCATGACTACACATGCATATTTGCAAAAAACTTAGAGCAAACCAAAGATTATCCCCATGTGTATGTGTGTGTGTGTGTGTGTGTGTGTGTGTGTGTGTGTGTGTGTGTGTGTGTGTGTGTGTGTGTGTGTGAAAATATGTGTATATATATATATATGAAAACACAGGAAACGTTGGAATGTATATTTAAACTGACTCAACCCACCTTCAAACACAAATGCTCCCAGAAATTTATCTTCAATGTAAAAACCGTAGATGAAAGAGAAAACAATAAAATCAAGAAGACACTATCAGATATTTTAATAGATTTTAAGTATTATGATGACATTAGTGCCTGTACAAATGGATACACTGCTTCTATAGTTCCAAAGGTAATGATTTTCATGTTCAAGGCCACACTCCCCAAGGTCATGCCCTTAAAGTCTGTACTGATGGTCCAAAATATTTTTAATGCCATTAGAACTGCATAATTATAGCTAATGACCAGTGAGATGATCACAGACTACAGATTATCTTCTGCCTCTTAAAGAATTAGCAGGATCTTGATAAAGAATGCTCCAGGTCTAGTTCACCTATTCTTCAGATAATGTGCCTTGGCCTGGCTAAAATGGCAATAATCCAGGACTTGAGTCAGGTCCCAGTGTCAGATATGGCCAGCTGAACCACAGCTTTCAGTATGGATGCCCTATTGCAGACAAGAATATTTGGGCTTTTGATGTTTATTTAATTTGAGCTAACAGCCTTTCAAGAACAGACAAGCTGTTTTCTCAGTGAGAGGCAGGGAATGTGAGGATGTGATTGGCAAATTTCTCTTTGCTACACTTTTCTCTTTGCTCTTTTCTCCTCCAAAAGCACTCCCATTAATCTTGAACCCCTTTCTCTCCTTTGGCCAATCAGTCATACTCCACTTGGCATTTCTTATGCTTACTTGAACTAGTGACTGAACCTAGTAAGTATAAAATAAAAACTTGTAATATATAACAAGAACACCCCAAATAACATTAGTGCCCCCATATCCTATGTCTCCCAGGACTAATATGAGCACCTCCTAATTTTGTCCTGACCTCTTGCTATACATGAATGAAAGTATAAAGTATAATATGTGAAATCTTGAAACACGGCATATATACTCGCTACCCATTTACAACCTCTTACATACCTCTAACAATTCTTTCCCCCTTTTACCAATCTAACAAGATCATGCTTCACAAATTCACCTCTTGGTTTAAATTTGTCTTTTTATTTTTCATGCATATAGATACAAATCTTACTGTTTAA